AAAAAGGAGAGAATTACATAAATCAAACTAATCATTTGTTAAAAAAAATAGCATATCAATTTAAATATAAAAATTAAAAATACAAAAATTTTAAAAAAAGAGATTAAAAAAATCAAAACATAATCGACAGCCACAATGGCTGTCGAATATACTAGCTATAATCGACAGCTATTTCTGTCGATTATAGCAGTATAATCGACAGTCATTGTGACTGTCGATTATACTTGAAACCCGCCCATTCCCCCCAAAAAAATTAAATCTCCAAGTTAATTTAATTTAAAATATATTCGACAATCTTATTTCAACATAATCGACAGAATTTCTGTCGAATATATTTTTATTATATATTTCCGAATAACCCTTCCCCGCCTCTGAACATCCAATTGCCTTGCATTTCCAATTTTCTTATTTACAGTTTCTCCAACCTATCTCTGCTTCTTTCTTTCCCAGGTAAGGCATTATTTTTTTTTTCAGCCTCTTCTCCTTTTGCCCTTTTTCTTTCAACTTCTTATACACTTGGGGTTTTGTTTCTTTCATCTTTTATTTTCTCAACCATGAATTCCTACTATTTGATATATTAATAGCTAATTTGTTTTTAATTTTTTATTTTTGCAGGTTGTATTTCTTTCATTATGGGGTAAATTCTTCTTTTAAATTTGATTTATTCTTTTCATTTTCTTTTATTTCAATTACGTCATAATGTATATCAATAATGTAGATTCCATTTCTTTCTCTTTTTGTGCAGAATTTTTATCTCAAAATAAGGTAAGTTTTTACTTTAGTTTTTATTTATTATTTCTTGTAATGTTAGTTTATAGTTTATAACATTATTTCATATATACTTATTCTTCTAGTACTTGGATTTTGCTTTGAATTTCAGCTGTTGATTGTTTGTAATATGACTAATAGAAATAAGCACAAATAAAAATCACAATGCTGCTAGATTCTGCACCAAATTTTTTTTTGGGTGACAGTGCATATAATCGACAGCCTAATGCTATCGGTTATATAAGTAAAAAAAAAAAAACATAATCGACAGCCAATTGGCTGTCGATTATATTGCTTAGTATTTTGCAATTTCCTCCGTACCATTTATAATTGACAATATTTCTGTCGATTAAAGACATATAATCGACAGAAAAAATTTTTGTCGATTATAATGATTTTCGACACGAGTTTATGCGGCAAACAGTGCTGTCGATTATGTCTGTCGATTATAGTTATAACCGACAAAAAACAACTTATAATCGACAATTTTTTCTGTCGATTATACCCGATTTTCTAGTAGTGTATCACAGTGAATGAGTATAGGAGGCACTGGTTTTTCCCATAGAGGAATTTCAAACAACAAATCTCTTAGCCAACTAGCTTCTTCAGAAGCTAGTGCTAATGATATCATCTCTGCCTCCATAGTTGACTTTGTAATTATTTGTTGTTTTTTAGATTTCCAACTCACAACACCACCACCAATCTTAAAAATATACCCTGAAACAGATAAAGAATCACCTAACAAGGTGTTCCAATCAGCATCACAAAATCCTTCAAGTATAGCA